ACTAGTCATGACAACTACGAGTAAGTAGTAACTGATAACGGGTACTACTAGCAACTGCAACCACGAGCCAGAGTACGACTACTACTAGAAACTACTACTAGGAACATACCTACTACTACTAGTACTACTACTGCTACTACTACTAGTACTAGTACTAGTACTACCACTACTACTTCTACTTCTACTACTACTCCTACTGCGACTACTACGGCTAACTACTACTACTACTACTACTACTACTACTACTACTACTACTATTACTACTACTACTACTACTACTCCTACTACTACTACTACTACTACTACTACTACTACCACTACTACTACAACTAGTAACGAGCAACGACTACTACTAATACGCTCCTACTACTACTACCACGACCGCTACCACCACCACTGCTGCTACTACTACTACTACTACTACGGCTACTACTACTACTACTACTATTACTACTACTACTACTACTACTACTACTACTACGACTACGACTACTACTACTACGAACTAAGTAAGTGAGTGAGCCAGTACGTATCTACTACTACTACTACTACTACTACTGATACTACTACTACTACTACTACTACTACTACTACTACTACTAGTACATACTACTAGTACGAGTAATAGTAACTACTACTACTCCTACTACTACTCCTACTCCTACTACTACTACTACTACTACTACTACTACTGCTACTACTGCTACTACTGCTACTACTACTACTACGACGACGACGACGACGACGACGACTACTACTACTACTACTACAACTACAACTACAACTACAACTACTACTACTACTACTACTACTACTACCACTACTACTACTACTACTACTACTACTACTACTACTACTACTACTACGACTACTACGACTACTACTACTACTACTACTACTACTACTACTACTACTACGACTACTACGACTACGACACGACTACGACTACGACTACGACGACTACTACTACTACTACTACTACTACTACTACTACTACTACTACTACTACTACTACTACTACTACTACTACTACTACTACTACTACTACTACTACTACTCCTACTCCTACTCCTAGTAACTACTGCAACAACTAGGTTCGTGCACCTGGCGGCGAGGGGGGGCTCCGAGGACCTCGGCCTCTTCGTCGGGGGCGCCGAGGCCTTCGCCTGGCAGGGGGCCAGCGCGAATGTGGTCGTCGTCGACGCCGCCGCGCTCTGGCTCAAGATCCGGGGCGAGGAGCAAGCGCGTGTCCACGAGAGCGAGATCTACGCAGCAGGCGCCGAGAGACGCATCCAGAACCTCCGCCGCAAGTTCCGCGAGACGCAGGCCGAGGATGACAAGGCAGCTTTCGAGACCGAGGAGGCCAAGCTCTTGGCCGACCACCCCGACCGGAGGACGCAAGTGGACCAGGCCCACTCGAACGCAGGAGACAGGTGCAGGATCACCCTCATCAGCGTCTCCGCAGTCGAGGGCTGGTTCGACCCGGGCAGGGGGCCCAAGTCCGCCAAGAAGCGCAGCGTGCTCCTCGCCCCCTCACGCGAGGCGCTGCCGAGTGAGCGACGTGAACCTCGAGGAGGGCGCCCGGCGGCGCGACGCCGCCTGCGAGCGGGGCGACGGCGAGACGGGGCGCTTCCGAGCGGGCGAGTCCCTTGGAGCATTGCTCAAGGGCTGGCGCAACGCTCTGCTCGAGTTCCCCGGGGAGGAACGCGAGAGGGTCTTCGAGGCCATCGACGCGTGGGGGCAGGGCCTGGACGGACGAGCTCGTCGCTTCCTGGGCCATCGACGTCATCGAGCAGCAGCGCGGCCAGCGCCTCGCGTTCGCAGACTGCCTCTTGAGCCAGTGGGCCGAGGCAGTGGCGCTCCGAGTGTGGCTCCAGAATGCGGTCTGCGCGCCCATGGCCCCCGACGTCGCGAGCTTCTTGCAAGGGCCGGGCGCCCGCGAGCACAGCCAGCCCCAGGCCGCGATCCGAGAGGTCAAGGCCGAGATGCACAGGGCCGTGGAGCAGGGCTGGGCCCACTAGGCCAAGGCCGAGCCCCAGAAGAAATACAAGTCCCCGACCCAATGGGGGCCCTGCGAGTGCTTCCTCTGCGTCTCCGAGGCCTACGCCCGCTTCCGCGAGAAGAACAAGGGCGCGGCGCCGCTCCGAGGGACGCAAGCGAACCGAATGCTCGCGGCCCGGCCGACGCAGGACGAGCTCAAGGTCGTCGCGGGCATGGGGCCGTGGAGCTACTTCATCGAGCCCGGCCGCGGCATCGAGCAGAGCCTGGCGAGCGAGCGCCTGGAGGGCATGCGGAGGTGGCCCGAGGGCGCGCCGCCCGTGGCCGAGTGGAGCGTCCTCGACGGGAACTGCTTCCACCAGGGCGACTTGCCCCAGGACTGCAAGCAGGACGAGAACCCCCGCCTCCTGGAGCACCGAGAACTGGACCTCGAGCTCGCAGACGAGCAGGAGGACATGCTCAGAACGCCAGAAAAAAAACGGATCAAGGAGATGCAATAGTCCCGCGTGCGCTCGAGAACTGGATCAAGGTGGCGCGAACAAGTAAGCGCAAGAGCAGGTGGGCGCCCGAGTTCGCGGGCCAGTTCCCGGGCAAGCACGCGCGCAAGTGGCCGCGCGAGAAGGCAGGGGCTGTCGGCGAGGCCTCGCTCGAGCACCTGAGCCGAAGCGCGGCCGAGGCAAGGCTCGCGGGCAGGCCGCCGAAGGCGAAGACGAGCTTCTCCCAGAAGTTCAAGGCCAAGAAGCAAGCGGAGAAGGACGCCAAGAAGCAAGCGAAGGCCAACAAGAAAACAGGCCTCGAGGCTCGCGAGGGCAGCCCCCTGGCACGCCAAGGTGGCGCGCGTCGCCGAGGGGGGAGTCCACGAGGGCGGGCGCGGCAGAGTGCAGGACGTCTGGCGAGTCCTGGAGGACGCGCGCCGCCTGCGCGTCCTCGAGGTGGAGACCCCGGCGATCTTCCAGATCGAGAGCAGCGAGGCCGGAGGGCTCACAAGCACTCATTAACTTCCGCCTGCTTCCGACTGAGGCAGCGGATGCGCGCGGAAGCTGGCGGAAATGGCGCCAGCGACGGCGGGAGCGGCGGAAGTTGGCGGAAAGCTGGCGGAAGCAGGCGGAAGCGGAACCGAGCAGGACTACAAGTTCCCCAAGCCGCACAAGCTCGACTGGCGCCAGACCAGACTGGCTCGCCGCACCGAGCTCGCCAAGGAGTGCGCGATCATGAACTGCGAGCAGATCGTCAAGTGCAACGCCCTCGAGCTGGGACCAGTGCGCGCGCTGCTGGGCGAGATCGAGGAGCGCGCGGGCGTCCCCGAGACCGTTCTGGTGGTCGAGCCCACGGTGGCCGTCGCCTGGGCTCGAGAGGGCCAGGGCGAGGACGAACCCGCCGCCCAGCAGCCCGACGAGCAGAAGCGCTGGGCCGAGAGAGTCGACAAGGCCGAGCACGTCCTGATCTGCGCGCACTCCGAAGCGCCCGCGCACTACACCTACCTTAAGGTCGGCGGTTGCAACGGTTGCCCCTACCCCAACATGCCTCCAGTTGTTCGCTCCGTTTTGGAGCGAATCCTGGAGGCACCCTGGGCAGGGGGCACTTGTAGCAACGCCCGCCAAGGTCCCGAGGATCGGCGGGGGCGTCGCGGTGGAGTACCGCGACGCCCTCAAGCGGCCGTCCGAGAACGCCAAGCAGGCCCAAAGGGCCACATGCGAACTCACACCTACACCCCACGATTTCTGAGGGGGGAGGTGGGGTTCACTCTGCTCGAGAGCTGCCGAACGAAGTGAACCCCACCCTCCGCCTCAGACATCGTGGGCAGGTTTCGCACGTGACCTCCATTGGCCCTGGCGAGACCTGCCCTGCGAGGAACAACGGGATGTTCCAGGCCGACGCCTGGTCCAGCGGCCTGTGGACGAGTCGCTGGATCGAGCGCGCCCTGCGCGAGATGCGAGGCGAGGGTCGCCAAGCGCCCGTGAGCATCAACACGATATGCGCCCGAGGCAGCGAGTGGATCAACAAGCTCAAGGAGGCCAGCGACAACGACTTGGCCAAAGGCCAAGGCCAAGGCCAAGAGCAAGGCCAAGTCCAAGCCCTTCAAGGACCCCGCGGCGGTCGAGCCGAAGCACGCCAGCTTCGAGGAAGCAAGTGCTGCCGCTCAGGCCTGCACCAGGTGCCTTCCGTGCAAGGGTGGCTCCAGAGGATGCCGAGCCTGCATGGGCGAGTGGTTTGAGGCCGTGCGCAAGGGAGGTTTCTTGGCCACGAGCGCCAAGGACCTCTCTTGCGCAGGCAAATTGTGGCCACGAGCCCCGAGATCTTTCGAGTCAGTCTTGTGCGAAGATCTACAAGGTCAGTCTACACGAAAGCCCAGGATCATCATCATCATCATCATCATCAGCATCATCATCATCATCATCAACATCATCATCATCATCATCATTAGCATCATCATCATCATCAGCATCATCATCATGGTCATCATCATCATCATCATCATCAGCATCATCATCGTCATTATCATCGTCATTATCATCGTCATCATCATAAACATCATCATCCTCATCCTCATCCTCATCCTCATCCTCATCCTCATCAGCAGCATCAGCATCAGCATCAGCATCAGCATCAGCATCAGCATCAGCATCAGCAGCATCAGCATCAGCATCAGCATCATCATCATCATCATCATCATCATCATCATCATCATCATCATCATCACCATCACCATCACAATCACCATCACCATCACCATCACCATCACCATCATAGTTAACATCACCTTCCCCGGGAAAATCATTGATTATCCCCGCCAGACCCCCGAAATTTCTTATCCCATGGGGATTATTATCGTCCGGAGTCGGTTAAGTGGGTGACCGGCGCCCGAAGTGGCTTGGGTGGATCCAGATCTCAAGCCACCTGGGGCACCTCCGACCCCGCCTGAGCATCCACTTGTGACCCTCCCTGTACCCTCAGCCCCCCCCCCCCGCGGCCATCCCAGCACGCCCTTCCCCTCCCCGGACCTCGAGGGGCCGCCGCCTCGGCGTCCTCGGCGGCCATGCCGAAGACCGCCTGCGCCCTGGCCTGCCGGCTGACCCTGCCGCTCGCCTCGGCCCCCGCCCTGGGCGCGCCCGGGGCCCCCCCCGCGCGAGCCCGAGCGTCGGAGGGGGCGCCCGAGCCCACCAGGGCGGCCGCCTGCGGCGGCGGCCCACCTGCAGAGAGCAGACCCCCCACCCCCACCCCCCAGATCCCCCCCCCCAGAAAGGAGCACCCCGACAAGCAGAGCCGTTTGGAAAACGCGCCCGTGAGGCGGGAGTCGAACGGGGCAGGGTTGTTCGGTAGACGCCCAGGGCCGTGCAGCAATCGCCAACCGCCAATCATGGGTGTCGGGGTGTTTTATTTTCTTCCCTGACCGCTGCCCGGGAGTCGGCCCGGCTCCAGGCTGTTGCTCGCGCTGGTGTCCCAGCTGGAGCTGTCGGCGATCTGCACGCCCTCGAGCAGCCTCTCCGCCGACCGCACCACCTCGGAGGGTAAGACAGCCCGGACCTCCCACGCACTGAAATGGTCAGCGCGGAGGCTTTTCGTTGTATGCAGCCTCTGTCTGCCCTCGCCAGGCCCCAGGACTGTCAAAAAACTAGTCAGGATGACAAGCTGGCCCCGGGTCGGGGCTTCTGGGAACTGCGTACAGGAAAAACAATACATCGGATCTCTGGGGGGGACCATGACCAAGAGTGAGCGCGGAAACATTGGTGCCGATCTTGGTCATCGTTCATCTTGGCCATGGCCGACTCGTGGATCATCCTCGCGGATCGGCGACGGCTGACATGGACCGTGACCGAGATCGGTGTCGGCAAGGCCCCGCGACATGACTACTTGGGGGGGCCTGTTTAGGCCAGCCAGGGCTGCCTGGCGGGGCCCCCTGTGCGCAACCCGAAGCCTCATCAATCATGTTCCCAGACATCCCGCATCTCGATTTTTTTGAGACAAGGGCCCCCGACCTCTCGACCACTTCCCCGGGACCAGTGTTTGTTCCAGAGTCTCTTTTTGACGGTCCCAGAAACCGGTAAGGGCCACGCGAGGCCCAACACTATGAACAACCGCCGATTCAATTTTTTCGAGACGCCAGGTGTCTGGGCACCAGTCATGGCTGTCTCGTGCTTCGTCCCCCGACCACCTGCTCCCAGGAGCCGGAGCTCCCGTCGTCCCCGCTGACGTCCTCTCGCGATCGAACCGACCTCTGGCACGCCGCGGTCTCTTCATCCAGTTGGATACCGAGTTTTTTCGGTCGCGATCGGTAGCGACCGATCGGCACTCCAAATTGGTCGCGACCGATCGCGACCGATTCCCAAATCGGTCACGGTCGATTTCGAAGCCAATCGATCGCGGTCGCTGTACCGGAATCCGGAGCAAAATCGGTAGCGACCGATCTCGCCAGTCGCGACCGAAAAACTCCAGCATCCAATGATCAGGGTCCCACGGCCTCCAGAGGCCCCCCAAGGATCATGATGTGTGCTCCAAGCTCGCTTGGCCTGAAAAGGGTTCAGGCCAGTGACGAGACCTCGGCTCGGGCGGAACTGTGCCGAACCCACCTGTGGCTGCCGATCTCGTCACGCGACTCTGGCGCCTCGCGGCGGACGGAGCGGCGGGCCGCGCCTCGGGAACGACCCCGACCTGTCTCGATGCTCCTCGTTTCAAGTGCGCTCGGGTCAACGCGTGCTCGTGCACCGAAGGCCCCTCCATACGACGCAGGCGGAACCATGAGGGCCGACACAGGCTGCGTGCCATCGGCGGAGCCGAACGAGGCAATCAGACTCGCGCTGGGCTCACACGCGTCCGAAGGATCATCGAATCTCCCGGGGCGCGCTCTGGCCAGCATCTCTCTGCCGCCCCGGCCGGGTGCGGCGAGGACCCCCCCACCCTCAGAGGCACAGGAGAGGCAGCCAGGAAACCTCCAGACAGACCCCGATCTGACCCCTTCCATCCGCGGCCCCAGAGCGCCCCGACCCCCCCCCCGGGTCCAACTTTCCGTCATAGAGCCGTCTTGGACGGCCCTGGGGCTCGCACACGGGTCCCACGAGACCGCACTCGGCAAGAAAAGCTCCGAAATCTACGAGTTACTTGTTCTTTGTCTTTCTTTTTTCCCACAAGCAGGGCCCCCAGGGCCGGCTCTCCATCCCGAGAGTTCTTTGACATTCCTGGGGCCCGGCGAGGGCCCCCAGGGGCCGAAAGCGGCGAGAGCCCTCCGCCCTGACCTTTTCTCAGTGCCCTGGGCGTCTCCTCCAGGCAGGGCCAAAATGGGGGTCACCACTGGGGAAGGGGTCCGAAGAGAGTGGCAGACCTCCTCGCGAGTGCCCCCCCCCCCCCCCTTCCCGCGAGGAGGCCACAGACCCTAGGAAGGCAAGGCACGGACCCCCCAGCGAAGAAGGAAAGCTTGGAATACAACGAACCAGGTCGCCCGAGGACTGGGCAGGCCACGGATAGGGCCCGCCGTGGCAACACCTCGTGCCGTCGGTCACCCGGGATCTCGACCCCTCCCCCGGGGCCTGGTCTTCACCCGGAGCCGTTTTTCGACGGCCTCGAGCGGCCGAGCCCGACGAACGCCTCCGTCTTGACTTTTCCACGCGCTGTAGGCCCGGGAAGGCCAGGAATGGAACCATCAGGTTGCCGGAGATCTGGGCAGGCCAGGGGAGCCCGTCGTGGCCATCTTGGCAAGGCTTCGGTAGGCCCAGCTGGCCTCAACAGGCTCCCCCAGGTCGTCCCAATCGGCCTTAACAGGTCCCCCGAGTAGCCCAGGGCGGTCTCAACACCCCAAACCTGGGGCGCGGAGCGCCCCAGGGGCGGCGCCAGGGTGTTGAGACCTCCCTGTTGAGGCCAGTCGGGCCTACCTGGGGGGCTTGTCTGCGCGCAGACCGAAGCCTTGCCCAAGCCCGTCGTGGCTACAGTCAAAACCCATGGCGCAAGGATGCAAGGTGAGAACGCAAGACCCTTGACGCCAACACTGGCTCAGGATGGGCCGAAGCAGGGGTGCAAGGGGTAGCCCTGACGCAACAGCGCGTCCCTACTATGGCTTCTGACCGTATCTGCTAGTGCCCGCGGCGCCCAGAGGTCTCCTCCACCCGCCCCCAGATCTTGTGCAGCGTCTGCGGCCGCGCGGCTGTTTGCGCGTCGCCGCGCGCCGGCGCCGGCCCCGCGCCGGCCGCGGGGGCACGGCTCATCGGGGCCCGCCCTGCCATCTGCGCCCGCCGCGCCGCGCGGCGGCCTCGGAGCAGAAGCGGCTGCGGAGTTTCTTCGTTTGCTCCCCAAACAGTGCCTGCACTCAGGTGTTCTTACTTCTCCTCTCAGGAAGCAGGCCTGGGTGTTGGTTTGGCAGCCCCGCGCTTGTCGTCGCCGCCCCGTCGCCGCCTCGTCGCCGCCCCGTCGTCAGGGCCTGGGTGCTGGTTTTGCGGGCCCGTGCTCGTCGTCGCCGCCCCGTCGCCGCCTCGTCGCCGCCTCGTCTTCTGGGCCTCGGTGTTGGTCTGGCGGTTCCGCGCGCTTTGTCGCCGCTTTGTCGCCGCCTCGTCGCCGCGACCAACCACTGCACCACAGTGAATGTACCACATGGGCTGCACCACATAGGTTGCAGCACACGGGCTGCACCACGTATGTATGCATGCATATATATATATATGTATATTTATACATATATATATATATGTATATATTGCGCAACATAGTTTGCACAACATCGATTGCACCATATATATATATGTGTATATATTACGCACCACATAGATTAAGCGACGCACGTTGCACCACATAGGCTGCACAACATAGACTGCACAACGTATCGCACCACATTCATTGCAGCACGTAGTTTGCTCAACATAGTTTGTATCACATATTTTGGGCCACATGGATTGCACCACACAGATTGCGCCACATGGGTTGCACAACGCAGATTGCACAAGACACGTTGCTAGAAGCACACCGTTTGGGGCCGACGCTGGTTAACACATCGGTTGGTTCTCGGCGGTCGGGCCTCCTCCCTCTTTCCTCCTTCGCGGCCGCTCTCTTCCTTTCCAGTCGTCTTCGCGTCCCGTGCCTGGCGCGCCCCGCGAGAACCGACCCCCGCGCCTGCGACCGCCGGCGCTGCCTTAGGAACGCTTCTTCGTGTCGGCGGCCAGGCAGGGCAACTGCGCTGGCGGAAGAACCAACCAAACGGGGGCACCGCTGTAGCGACTTGGGCCACCATGCAAGAGAGAGGGAAAACGGGGAGGGCGGGCGGCCGAAGTGGGGGGTGCCTCGGAACACACCTTTCTCAGGTTTCCTCTTACCAGCAGCACTTCGATTGCGGACTGCCCGAGGTGGCTCTAGGTGCCGCTGCAGATGGGGCAGGCGTTTGGGGTCCAGCAGGGCGGTAGCGGCCAAGCGCTCCACTTTCCCAAGAACCCAATCGTGTCGTGAACAAGACTACGACGGGAGGTTTCTGTTGCTGTTGCTATTTTCGGCCTCTGGGGGCCCTCGCTAGACCCTCGGAACCCATCCTGGCGAAAGACCCAGACATGTGCAAGTGTGGCCGCGGAAGCTTTCTATGCAGCCACGAAGCGTGTAAGTGGTGTGACGAATCGGATGCGGGCACGCCATGCGGACCCCGCCGCTGGGCTCTTCGGGTGTAGCTCCCCATGTGGCCACGAGATACATGTTACGGGTGTGCCGAATCGAATGCGGGTGCGCCGTGCGGACCCTGCCGCTGCGGCCCTCGGTGGCGCTTCCCATGGGGCCACGAGGAACATGTTAGGGGTTTGCCGAATCGGATGCGGGTGCGCCATGCGGACCTTGCCGCTGCGGCCCTCGGTGTAGCTCCCTATGGGGCCAGGAAGCGTGGGAAAGGTGTGTTTCGAATCGGCTGCGGGCACGCCGTGCGAACCCTGCTGTTCGGGGGCTTCGGTAGAGCTCTCTATGGGGCCACGAGGAACATGTGAGGGGTGCGCCGAATCGGGTGCGGGTACGCCATGCGGACCCTGCCGCTGCGGCCCTCGGTGGCGCTCTTTACGGGGCCACGAAGCGTGTGAAAGGCGTGCCGAATCGGATGCAGGTCCGCCATGCGGATCCTGCCGTTGGGCCCTTCGGTAGAGCTTTCTATGCAACCACGAAGCGCGTGAAGGGTGTTGGATGCGGGTGTGCCATGCGGACCCTGCCGTTCGGGCCTTCACTTGAGCCCCCCATGGGGCCACGAAGCGTGTGAAGGATGTACAGGACCGGGTGCGGGTACGCCATGCGGACCCGGCCGCTGCGCCCTTCGGTGAGCTCCCCATGGCGCCGCGAGAAAAATGTGAGGAGTGCGCCGAATCGGATGCGGTACGTCATGCGGACCTTGCCGTAGCGGCGCCACGAGACGTGTGAATAGTGAGCCGAATCGGCCGCGGGTGCGCCATGCGGACCCTGCCGCTGGGCCCTTCGGTGAGGTCTATTTCGAACCGGATGCGGGTACGCCACGCGGACCCTGCCGTTCGGGCCTTTACTTGAGCCACTATGGGGCCACGAAGGGTGTGAGGAGTGTACCGGATCAGGTGAGAGTGCGCCATGCGGACCTTACCGCTGGGCCCTCGATGTAGCTCCCCATGGGGCCACGAGAACCATGTGAGGGGTGTGCCGAATGGGCTGTGGGTACGCTATGCGGACCCTGCCGCTGCGACCCCCAATTGCGCTCCCTATTGGGCCGCGAAGCGTGTGAAAGGTGTGCCGAATCGGGCGCGGGTACGCCATGCGGACTCTGCCGCTGGGCCCTTCGGTGTAGCTCCCCATGCGGTCATGAGAAACATGTGAGGGGTGTGTCGAGTGGGGTGTGGGTGCACAGTGCGGACCCTGCCGCTGCGGCCCTCGGTGGCGCTCCCTGTGGGTCCCGAAGCGCGTGAAGGGATGTACCGAAACGGGCGCGGGCACGCTACGCCATGCGGACCCTGCCGCTGTGCCCTTCGGTGGAGCTATCTTTGCAACCACGAGAAACATGTGAGGGGTGTGCCGTGCCGATTCGGGTGCGGGTACGCCATGCGGACCCTGCCGCTGGGCCCTTCGGTGGAGCCATCTATACAGCCACGAAACGGGGGAAGGGTGTATGTTCGAATCGGATGCGGGTATACCATGCAGACCCTGCCGTTCGGGCCTTCACTTGAGGCCCTAATGAGGCCACGAGGCGTGTCGTTGGGGTGACGACTCGTGTGGAGGTGCGCCATGTAAGCCCTGCCGCTGAGCCCTTCGGTGGAGCTCTATATGCAGCCACAAAGCGTGTGAAGGGTGTGACGAATCGGATGCGTGTGCGCCATACGGACCCTGCTGTTCGGGCCTTCATTTGGTCCCCGTATTGGGCCACGAAGAGTGTGGCGGGTGTACAGGATCGGGTGCGGGGACGCCATGCGGACCCTACCGCTAGGCCTTTTGGTTTAGCTCCCCATGGGGCCACGAGATCCATGTTACGGGTGTGCCGAATCGAGTGCGGGTACGCCGTGCGGACCCTGCCGCTGCGGTCCTCGGTGGCGCCCCCCTACGGGCCACGAAGCGTGTGAAGGGTGTACCGAAACGGGTGCGGGTGCGCAATGCCCGCCCTGCTGCTGGGCCCTTCGGTGGAGCTGTCTATGCAGCCACGAAGCGCGTGAAACATGTGGCGAATCAGATGCGGGCATGCCGAGCGGACTCTGCCGTTCGGGCCCTTCATTTGAGGCCCCCTATGGGGCCACAAAACGTGTGAATGGTGTACTGAATCAGGTGCGGGTACGCCGTGCGGACCCTGCCGCTGGGCCCTTCGGTGTAGCTCCCCATCGGGCGACGAGCATCATGTGAGGGGTGTGCCGAATGGGCTGTGGGTACGCTATGCGGAAACTGCCGCTGTGGCCCTCGGTGGCGCTCCCTTTTGGGCCACGAAGCGTGTGAAGGGTGTACCGAAACGGGTGCGGGCACGCTAGGCCGGGGCCCTTTGGTGGAGCTATCTTTGCAGACGCGAAGCGTGTGAGTGATGTGCCGAATCGGACGCGGGTATGCCGTGCGGGCAAGGCCTCCAATTGATCCCCCTTTGGAGCTACGGAGCGTGTGAGGGGTGCACCGAGTCGGGTGCGGGTGCACCACGTGGACCCTGCCGCTAGGGCCTTCGGTGGCACTCCCTATGGGGCCGCGAAGCGTGTGAGCGGTGTGTCGAAGTGGACATGCCGAGGGCGCAGGCAGGGACATGGGGAAGGAGGGAGGAGGGCCGAGGGCAGAGGCAGGGGTGGAGGGCGGAGGTGGAGGGGGCAGCGGGAGAAGGAGTGGAGCGCGGGGCCGTCTCTGGAAAACGAGGACCCGCACAACAGAACGATCAGGAACAACGACTCAGGATGAAAAGTCAGCCCTGCTCTGGCGAGCGCTAATGGGGGGGTGGCCCACATGGGGGGTGAAGGAAAAGGCCCAACAAGGGGCCCTTTAGGGCTCCTTTGGGGCCCCCGCTGGCTCCAAAAAGGGCCCCCAAGGGCACATTTGGGGACCTGTCCCTTACCCCCGATGCGGGCCACTCCCCACGAGCCCCCGCCCGGCCTTCGGGGAGGGGCCTGGACTTCTGGGGGGCCCGTGCTGAAGAAGCCAAGGCGACGGAAATCTCTGGGAGATCCGCGGGCAGGGGCGGCGGTGGGGTCCCTGGCGTGCGTCGGAGCAGGCGCGGCTGCCGAGGGAGCCCAGGCCTCGGGCGGGCCTTTGGCGTTTTCGTTTCGCACCAGGCGCTGTTCCGCCCGGCTTCGCCCCCCGGGGTCCATCACAGATCGTCCTGGGTTCGCGGAATGCCGCAGGAAGAGTGGACCCAGGGCCCCAGTCGCAATGTTCTGCGGTGCTGTCGCTTTTTCGCAACGTCGGACCTCGGGGCAGGGTCCTCCAGGTCTGGGGCCCACACCACTAGACAAGCGCGTTCTATTACTCGCAGAGTAGCTACTCGCACATGGCCTGGATCCATTGCGTCGAAGCAAAAGGCTCCATTGCATCGAGCAGCACTTGTTTTTTGGACGTTTGCGAGTAGGCACTTCGCGAGTAGTGGGACGCGCTGGGTGAACGACGTTGGATGTCCAGAGCGAGTGGGAGAGGAGCGGGTGACGGGTGAGGGGTTCTGCGCACGTACGCCGCAGCCACAGCTACAGTGCGGCATCTATGGAACGGTCGTCTTCACAGCCACATTCCTATGCACAGGATTGCCAGCAAACAATGCATGACGAATGGATCGGCGCTGCAACCACCTGGACAGCCGCTGGCTAACTTGTTATCACATCCATCACGGCACCACTCTCTACCAAGGCTTGGGCTATTGAGCCATGACCTAGGTGCTCTGCAGGCGAAACACCTTGTCAACATTGCATACGTTTTAACTCATGCTTGTTGCTTCATGCCAACTGTTTTCCTCTCGAGGTTTCTGCAGACTTGCGACCCGACTGCTGCTACTCGCACGCTGCCTTTCGGACACCAAACTGTGCAACAGTGCGCTCTACCCGGCTGCTGACGACCACCATTGCTGCTGGCACAGTGCTGTCGGTTCAGGTCCCTTTACAACTTTTACTTATTGCTGACTACGTGGCCCCATCTTCTATGTACACTGCTGTTTGTATCTAGGTTCATTGCTGTCGCATCCCCATCACCAGCATGGATGCCGCACCACATCCTGTCAAGACATGAGCCCTTTTCTGTTACAGGTGGCTTACTCCAGCCAATGCTGAGAGCTCTGCCTTACTGGGCCCCCCTAGCCTATATGCCATGCTCAGAAGGCCCCACGTTGCGACACAATCGCACTCCACATGCTTTCAAAAGGCCTCAGCCGCAACTGCCTCAGCAGGCTCCCCCAGAGGTGGAGGAGGGGGGGGGCACGAGGAGGACAAGGGGGATGAGGAGGATGAGCGGGAGCAGAACAAGAAAGAGAAAGAGAGAGAGAGAGAGAGAGAGAGAGAGCGAGACAGAAAGAGTAGGAGAAGGAGGGGAGGCGGGATGAGAGGAATCATCTGAAGGGGCAGGGGATATGGAGAAGGCTGTCGGGAAGGGGGCCGAGGAGAAGGGGAGAAAAAGTATGGAAAAGAAGTGAAGGAGGGGGAAGATGAGGATGAGCAAGGCGAGGAGGATCAAGAGTAGCGGGAGGAGGATGAGGATGAACAGGTGGAGTGGCGGCGGGGAAATGAAAGAGAAGACGGTTCAGGGGGAGCGTGATGAAGAGGAAGTGGAAGGGGGAGCTTGCGATGGGAGGGAGGAGGGGCTGGAGGAAGAGGTCTGACCACTCTCGATGCGCATGGCTTGGGATCTTTCCCCGCCTCAAAACCCACACATGTTCTTTGCTGAGAGGGGCGATAAGCATGTCAAGGAAATCGACGACGGGGCCCCTGGGAGCCCCCGCGGGAGGGGGGCACTGACATCGAAGAGGGGGGGGGGCAGACGGGGGCGCTGACGTCGCGGGGGGGTCCACTGACATCGAACTGCTGCCAGGATGATCGCAAATATCAAGCTTTCAGAACCCACCGGCGGCGAAAAAAAACAAAGCCCATTTTGCTAAACGCGCCTCCTGTTCTCAACTCTCCGGGGGGTTCTCTCGCCGCAAATTCCGCTCTGTAAATCGCCCCCCCTCTCTGGGAAATCGCCGCAGCCCCCGTCGCTGAGGAGGGGGGGGGGGGAGGGGAAGGGCGAGCGAGGAGGGGGCATTTCCGCAAGTTCAGACCCAGAATCCATGTCCCATGCGCGCATCATGCGCAAGATCTGGGCGGTCGAAAATGGGGGATGGAAAAGGGCGGCGACTACAAATGCTGATGCAGCTGGTTTTTCAACCGCGGCCCAAGGGATGGGAGGTGCCAGAATAAGAAAGGAAGCTGCGTGCGTCAGCATCAGATGTCTCGGGTCGGGCGAAAGGGGGGGGGTAGCAAAGGGGGGGGGCGGTGAGAATCAGCTCGCGTAGCTGATTTTCCCGGCGCCCCCCGGCGCCGCAGGCGGCTATATCTCGAGGAATGGGCCCTTCGGTGAAGGCGAAACCAGCTGCATGCAGCAAATTTCGTAACCCCCCCTTTCCCAATCCCCCCCTTTCGCCCGGCCCGAATGTCGCGCACCTCCCTTTGCTATCCCCCCCCCCGGACGCAAATTCGAGTGAAACTCATTCTGGCGTGCAAGGTCTGCGTTCCTTCCGCTGTCCTCCTCGCCCTCGTCCTCCCGGCCTCCCCCACCCTCCCCCAATTCTCCCCCGTCGTCTCCACCCTCCTCCAGTCCGTCCTCTCCCTCTGGGGCCCTACTCGGCCCGGCTGCGGGCTGCCGCGTTTGCCCTCACTGCGCGATGGTGCCCCTCTTTTTCACCTCGTTCAGATACTGCCCCAGCTGGCCCCAATAGTCGGGCGAAGAGAAGTATGCACATGCACCGATCCTGGCCAGGCCTATCCTGTGCCCGGGATCGGTGCATAGGCTTTCCTGGCCAAGGCAGGAGGTCGTATGCACAGATCCTGGGCTCAGGATGGGCCTGGCCAGAATCGGTGCATGTGCATACTTCTCTTTCCTCGAAATAGCTCCTCACGCGGAAGATCGCGAGAATCGAGATGGTCATGCGCCGATACGCTGCCAGCGCGGGCTGGAACTTGGGGCCAAGCTCGGCGATGATGGCCCAGGAGCTGCGACGAAGCACCACGCGGTCAACTCGCGCTCGGTTTTTCACTTCCTCTCGGGGCCAACCGCGAATCTTCGAAGGGCACGGCCCCCCCCAGTCACATATATCATATATCATATATTATATCCCGATCGCACCGCCCCCTGCAAAGACCTTGCAAAGACCCTGCAAAGAACCTCTGCAAAGACCCTGCAAAGACCCTCCCTGCAATGCAAGCCTCGACGAGGTCCCCAAGAAGCCCCAACAACCAAACCCGAAGAAGCCACCGGGCAACCCCCACAAGAAACTCGAGACTTGCAAACTGCCTCCAACTGGCCCGGCACACGAACGAACAAGATACTATAACCCATAAGCCTATAACCCGCAACTCGGGGACGGTGGCGGGACTTGCCGCGAGCAGATGGGGGCCAAAAACTCATCGCATGGCGACCGTCCTTCAAGTAATTCCCCAGCTGGCCCCAATAGCCGCGTAGGCGAGCCAACGCGACAAGCGACCTCACGAGGCGCTCCCACGCCATTCCGGGCAGCCCAAGCCCGCGCGCGCCTCTGCGCCCGGACAATTGCACAACTGAATGAGCTCCGGAAGACGGAAGGAGGGGCAGGGCGGAGGAACGGGCGGAGGAGGAGGAGGGCGAGAGAAGGAGGAGGAGGAGACGCACGAGTCAGTCAACTCGGGCGGCTGACTGATTGATTGGATTGTCTGATTGAATTTACTGACTGACTGACTGCTCCTCCTCCTCCTCCTCTTCCTCACTCCTCCTCCTCCTCCTCCTCCTCCTCCTCAGTCCTGAGTCCTGGGTCCTCACTCCTCGCTCCTCCCTCCTCCTCCTCCTCCTCCTCCTCCTCCCTCCTCCTCCTCCTCCTCCTCCTCCTCCTCTCCCGATCCTGCGATCCTGGGCGCTGGATCGGATCACGCGCGTCGCCCTGGCCAAGCAAGGAGGGCGCGCACAGGCAGGATGCGCGACGATGGGCGATGGGATGCAAGGGCCTAGGACGCGCATTTCGAAGCTTTCCGAGCGGGGCGCGGCCAGCGAAAGTGGCGCTGGATGGACCGAGGAGGCAAGGGTGCAAGGGTACCCAGGGTACCTCTAGAGTAGAGATCGGAACGACTGGGGAGCTCCCCCGCGGCCTCCGCCTGCGCCCCCGCCTCCGCCCCCGCCTCCGCCCCCCCTTCTCCTCCTCGTCATCATCGTCATGAGTCATGAGAATATTATTTCTCCTCCTCCTCCTCCTCCTCCTCCCCCTCCTCCTACCCCCCCTCCCCCCCCTCCTCCTCCTCCGCCCCTTCCACCCTGAGCGTCCCCCCCCCGTTCGGCCCAAGCCCAAGCCGCTCAAGCCGCGGCCGCCGCGGCCCAGGCCTGACGGCGCCCGCGCTGGAGGCAGGGCCCCCATCGGGGCGGCGGGCGAGGAGGCTGACGAGGGCTCCTCGCCCCCCCTCCTCCTCCTCTCGCCGCCAACGTCGTCGCCCCCCCCCCTCCTCCGCTGATGGAGGTTTGGACCAAACGGTTTGGAGGTTGAATGGAATTGAGGAGGATTGATACATGTTATTCCCTACCTAGGCTCTGCCTAGAGGCTAGAAGGGTTCTTACTCACCCTCTGGGCTTAATGGGCCGGGCCGTGGAAAGCGCCCCGGGCGGTTCCCCCGGCATCCGCCCCGCGGTTCCCCCAGCTACGTCCCCTGAGCTTAGCGTTGCGTATCTCATCTTAGCTTAGCTTATTTCATCTTAGCTTAGTTTAGCTTCATCTTCGCTCAGGTCTATCGTAGCTTAGCTTACCTTCATATTAGCTTCGTTGGGCTTTAGCATAGCAGAGCACATCATAGTATAGCATTGCAGCATAGCGTAGCATAACATAGCGCAACACATCATATCATAGTTGCGGTGGGCCTTGTCGTGGGCCTCAATGTCCTCGTCCGTGGGCCGAGGGACCCCGCGCTGCGCCCAAAGCTCGCAGTGCTCACACTCTCGAACAAAGAAACGGCTAACACTGGCGCGTTTGGGGTCTCATTTTGACCAGATCCCAACGCACTGTGTCTGGGCCCCCATCGCCACGCCTGGATTCCCTCTTCGCGACTGGATTCCGATCGCCGCGGCTGGATTCCCCGTCAGCGGCTACGGTGCCCCCCTCGCCACGGCTGGACTTCACAACGTCAGCGACCGGAGTGCCCAGCGGCCGGACTTCACGACGTCAGCGACGCCAGGCCCCGACCGCCCCTCGCCCCCAACGTGGCATAGCGTAGCAGAGCGTCGGGAAGCTGAGCATAGCATTCCATCGCATAGTCGCGGGGCCGAGCATAGCATGGCATTCGGTCGCACCAGGATGTAGCTGTGTCGGGGGACGGGACATGCGTAGAGTAAGCCATTTGAATCGAGAAAGAAGTTTTTCTCTCGGGAGCGGCCAAGAGGGGGGTGTCCAAGAGGGGGGGTGCAAATCATGACCGGCGGCACGTGCGCGGCCCAGCGGGGGGGCCAGGGACGATGAAACAAAGAAAAGGCGGCGTAACATCTGGGGAAATATATATCATGGCCCCCGCCATGGTTTCCACCCCCCCCAGTCATCACCCTCCTCTTTTCCGCCCCCGATTCTTTCTCAGTGGCCGTGAAGCCAAGAACGCTTACCGGTCTCGGGCGTCCCGAGGCGAAACGAGCAGCGCGGCCGTGGCCCACAAAAAAATGTCGTTGGCGTAGGCGCTGGCGTCGGCGCTGAAGGTGTAGGCGATGTGCGCTGGCGCAGGCGCAGTCGGTGCCGTCGTAGGCTGGTGTAGGCGCTGGCGTAGGCTCTGTAAGTGCCGTCGTCAGCGCAGGTGCTGGCGCGCCTACTGCCTACTGCCGAGTGTCATCTGCCGCTGCCCACGAGCTGCCCAAGCTGTCACCCTCGGTCGTCTCCACCTTCAAGCTCGGGTTCAGGGCCACCGTGAAGGTCGGGCTGTTCTTGCCCTCGCCAGTGACCTTGATGTGGTCCGTAGTCGGGATGGGCGTGGGCTTCGGGACGTGCTCAAAGTTGTTCTTGTAGACGCGCATGCTCGCAATCTTGCGGTCCGACTTGACCACCTTCAGCCTGTCCAGGATGCCCGCTTTCAGCTCCTCGCACGTCACCGTCGACGTCGCAAGGGAGCTGACCAACTCGACCCTATACCACCCCTTGAACTTCTCGTCGAGAATGTAGATGCTCAGGTAGACGCCGTCGCCGAAGTCGCCGTTGCCCGCGCCGCGCATGTCGCACGCGCTGGGGCCGTCGCCCGGCTTCATCTCGAACGAGTCCACCTGCACGTAGACGCCCCACTTCGCCGCGTTCTGGTTGATGGCGTGCCAGTCCTCGTACGGATCTCCATCGCGGCGAACCTGGCCGTTCACGTGCAATGCGCGGTAGAGCGAGATCTTCTTGCCGCAATAGAAGCTGAACTTCTCCTCGAGCTCGTCCTTCAGCATCTGCGCGGTGGGGAAGAGCGGCCACTCCTTTAGAGGGAAGAGAACTATGCACATGCACCGATTCTGGCCAGGCCCATCCTGAGCCCAGGATCGGTGCATAGGCCCTCCTACCTCGGCCAGGACGGCATATGCACCGATCCTGGGTCAAGGATGGGCCTTGCCAGGTGCATGTGCATAGTTCTCTTCGCCCGATCCTTTGCGCCCACTGGCGGCTCGACCGAGAGCCACTGCCCCCCCTCGACGTCCTTCAGGAAGCACTCCACCTTCATCCTGGCCACACCGTTCGCGATGTTGAAGCCGAACGTGTGCTCGGTCGCCCGCATCACGTGTTCTGCCATCGCCGATGCGCGCGGTGCTGGTTCACAGCGGTGCGGCTGGTTGCGCTGGTGATGCGCGCGGTCGCGCGCGAACCTGCAGTGCTGCTGGTCGCGCGAAAAGCTTGGGCCAGAACAGATGCAGGAGGACGGTGGGCGGGGACTTCACTGAGCTCTGCATTATCGGAGAACGCAATCGCAGCACGGGACTGGACTCCCATCGCCGCGGCTGGAGTCCTCAACGGCTGGATTCTCATCGTCACGGCTATCCTCGCCGCGGCTGGATCCCTCCACGGCTGGATTCTCCTCGCCACGGCTGGATTCCGCCGCTAGCGCTGCGTAGCATAGCCTTGCATAGCGCAGCACAGCACAGCGCAGCATGCATAGCCTATAGAATAGCATAGCACAGCACAGCATAGTAGCATAGCAGCAAAGCAAAGGCAACGGCAAAACAACAGCAGCGACAGCAGAACAAAGCAGCAAAGCACAAGCAACGCAAAGCAAAGCAAAGCAACAGCAAAAGCAAAAGCAAAGGAAAGACATAGCAAAAACCATGTGCGACAGATGCCGAGCTAGCCTCCGATGGCCAGCCCGGAGCCCCCGCAAGCAGCGCGCAAGGCGCCCCCTGGGTTCGCCCAGCTTAGCTAAGCTAAGCTAAGCTAAGCTTAGCTTAGCTTTCCTTAACTCATCTTAGCTTAGTTTAGCTCAGCTTAGCCAAGCCTAGCTCAGCGTAGCTTAGCGTAACCTAGCTTAGTTTAGCTAAGCTGAGCGCAGCATAGCGCAGCGCAGCATTAGCACAGCATAGCGTAATATATCATAGCACAGCATAGCAGAGCATAGCATAGATCATGACATAGCATAGCGCAGCATAGCATAGGATATCATATCATAGAACAGCAATGCTTAGCATAGCACAGCGCAGCATAGCATAGCACAGCACAACATAGCATAGCATAGCGCAGCCTAACATAGCACAGCCTAGCATAGATGCTTGTAGGTGTAGGTGTAGATGTGGATGTGGGTGTCGATGTAGGTGTAGCTGTAGGTGTAGATGCAGAGGCAGATGTGAGTCTCGCATGCAGGTGTAGATGTAAATGAAGCTGTCGGCGTAGATGTAGATGTTGCTTTCCTAAATGCTCCAACTCCTGGGCAGGGTCGCACTGGGGCAATGACGGAGGAGGGATCGTCGAATGATAAAAAGGAAGAAGGAGGAGGAGAAGGAGGAGAAGGAGGAGGGGGAGGGGCATGAAAAAGGAGAAGGGAGAGGGTGAGGAGGAGGAACCACGGAGGTCCCGACAGAGGACCACCCCGAAGAGGAGGAGGAGGTGAGGGGGGAGGCCTGAGGGAGGACATCATCCACTCGAACATTCGGGCTTCTCCTCGACTCCTCCCCCCTCGTGGAGGGGGGCCCCAGGCAGGGGCAGCCGATCTTATTCGCTCTCCAGACTCTCTTCGCTCGTCGTCTGTCCTGCACCGTGGCCATGGCACCAGCCCACATGTGCACGCACGTGCAGAGCAGACAGCAGTCGCGGAACCTCCTCGGTCCTCCTATCTATTACTAAACTGAACTACGGTGATATACATTATCAGCTAAAGCTGACCACTGACAGGCAGGTGAGAAAAGTGACAAAAAAAAAAAAAGCCGATCCGAATCGCGCGAGCTGCTGCGTTGCCACAGCCCAGCCTCGAGCCAGGGTGAGGGTGACGGCGCGGTCTAGGCCGTCTCCTAGCTTCCATGGGTTCCAAATTGTGCCAGGGCCACGGCCCAGTGGCACTAGGCCTAGGGCGGCCCGCGCGCCCAGTGACCGAGGGCCGCCCCTTCCGGCGGGCAGCGGTGCGAGGGCGCGAATAAAGCCGCGGAGCGGCAGGTGCTGCCGCAGCAGAGGCAACAGAGGTCGCCGTTCGTCGTCGTCGTCGTCGTCGTCGTCGCGGTCGTCGTGGTCGTCGCAGTCGTTGACGAACGAACAACACACACACGCCCAACCCATAGGGAGGTCGTAGGGAGGAGGACTGGTTATGGGCATGGGTGCGGATTGTCGGACCCTGGGGAACGCCCCCGTTCGAGCGGGGTCCCTCATCCGACAACACGCGCCCATAGCCCTCTCCGATCCACCTATGGGCATGGGTGTGTGTGTTGTTGGTTCGTCAGTCGTCGTCGTGGTCGTCGTCGTGGTCGTCGTCGTCGTCGTGGTCGTCCTAGGCTCAGGCTAAGCTAAGGAGTCCTAGGCCGGCGCCGCGGCGGCGGCTGCCTGCTGCTTGCCACCGCCCTTGCGCCGCTTCGGCTCGGGGCCACCCGCCGGCCTCTCAGCCGACTTTGCGAGGCAGTCCTGGGCCAGGACCGCGTTGATGCTGGCCGTCACGCACGAGTGGGGGGCCATGTGCTTCGCCGGCAGGACGGACTGAAGGCTTCGCAGCGTCTTGGCCATGGACTCGGTATCCTGCGAGCCGAGCAGCGACTGCATGCACGTCATCGATCCCGAGAGCATGCCGGCACCCACGAACGTCGGGTCGGAGCCCCACGCCATTCCAGCCTCGAGGGCGTCGTTGGCCATCTGGAACAGCGGCGCGCACTTGTCGACGAACCAGCGGAAGTCGTGGCACATCGTCTTCGCAGTGGGCACCTGGATCGCCGCTGCCAGCGCCGCACGGTGCCCGCCAGTTGGCAGCGAGCTCCCCTGAGAGCTGAGGGACTCCAGGTAATCGACCAGCGAGATGTTGAACCCCTGCACCACGATCTTATCGGAGAGGGCTTTGAAGTGCAACTTCACGGTCTTGAAAAGGTCCTGCATGCGCCCCAGCAGCATCGCCTTCGAGCCGTCGACCGCCGCGTTGCAGGCGTAGTCCAAGCTCTGCACCTGGGATGTGTGGCAACAAACAAAATCCTCCCCCCTCCTTTTCCTCGCTTCTCTTCTCCTCCCCCCTCCTTCCTCCTCCTCCCCCTCCTCCTCCTCCTCCTCCCCCTCGCCCCCCTGCTCATCCAGCTCTGTAGTGGCATCTGGGAACTGGGCGGAAGCCCTCTCCTCCCCTCCTCCTCCACCTCCTCCTCGCGTCGTCCCCCTTCCTCCTCCTCCTTCCCCCCCTCCTCCCTCCTCCTCGTCCTCTCCATCCTCCTCATACCTCCTCCTCCCTCCTCCTCCTCCTCCTCATCCTCCCTCCTCCTCTTCCTTCTCCCCCTCCTCCTCCCCCTCCCCCCCCTCCCCCTCCCCCTCCCCCTCCCTCCTGGGCCAGTGGCGCGGCTTCGGCAGCCCCTGATTTTCTCAATCCGGGCGGCCTTCTCCTATGTCGGTTTCTTGGGCCCCTTGCGCCCTGAGCCCGGCCCATGCCCCTGGAATGCCCGGAACTCCAGCCCCCTTGGACCCCAAGAGGCCTGGCCACAACCAATTGCGCCATTGGTCACCGTCTTCGTCCACTCGTCCACGAACTGGGAGAGAACTGACAACTGGCCGGACTGCAAGTCGGACATCAAGGTGATTGCCCGCGACGCGATGGCAACGAAAGAGTCCCTGCTCTCAACCAGCTCCTCGGGGGTCGCCGATGCACCGACGATCTTGCATGCGCCGGCGGACGTGTCAGGGATCGCCTCAACAGCAACGTGGGCGACGCGCAAGACTTTCGCGAAGGCAAGCACGTGCGCAGACATCATCATGGCATCCGCCGTGTAGCCGGGGCCCACCTGTCCACCAACGCGGCTGCCATTGCCAATCGCAGCATTGACGCGGTCGAGCTCCTCCTCCACCGCGTCGCCGCGGTCGTCGTCGGCGTCGCCGAGCCCGAACAACTGAGCGCTGAGTTCCTCAACCTCCTCCGCCGCTGCCGCCTCCCCATCCTTTCGGGACTCGGGTCGGGCAGCGGCAAAAGGGGGGGATAGCAATCTGCCCGCGGAACTGATTTTCCCGGCACCTCACGGCGCCGGAGGCGGCCATGCATCGAGGAATGGGCCCCTCGGCGAGGCCGAAACCAGTTGCATGCAGCAGATTTCGCAACCCCTTTTCCCCTTTCCCAATCCCTCCCTTTCGCCCGCCGATCCTGGGACATGCCTTCGATGACCGGGGAAACGTAAGACTCGGGCAAGGGGGGCTCGGGTTGGCCTGACGGGGGCACGAGGCCCAACCTGAAATTTGACGCGGGCCCCCGGGCCCCCGTTGCAAACATCCTGCGGGAACTGGACCGTCAAAATCCAGGGCGCAATCGTCGAACAAAAATCGGCAAACCCGAGTTCCAGCTTACTCGAGTCTCACGCTTCCCCGAGATGAGAGTGAGATCCTCGCTTCGCTCCTCGGCCTCCTCGGGGGTGCTCGCCCCGGCTGCCGCGGTCGCCGCCGCCGCGTCCTCGGACTGGGCAGGGGGGGTTGCCGTCGTCCTCATCCTCCTCCTCATCCTCCTCCTCATACTCCTCTGCCTCCTCTCATCCCTCATCGTCCTCATCATCATCCTCCTCGTCCTGCTGCAGCCATGCTGCGTGGGGCGGGGCGGGAACTGTGCGCCCATGGGACTGGGGGAGCAGGCATATGCCGAGCTGTGCGGATAGCCCTGCCCCCCTCGATTGGCTGTAAGAAAGGAGAGGTTCGGCTGGCTAAGGGGTGGGTCAGTCAGAACCGTACCCCCCCCCTCAACCCCCGAACCCGGGTCCCCCAGTCAATGTCCCCAATGGCGCGGCCACGACCTGGCCACTGCCGTCGGCTCTCAATATGGCGCGGCCTCATCGCCCCACCGCGAGTATCTCAGTCGCGGCGGGGGCTTGAGGCGCGCATGTTATCAGGGCGACGATGGATCAGGAGAAAGAAGAAAGATGCCAGGAGGGAACAAGAATGTGCACCGAGTGGGCATTACTACAGTATTACTCGAGTCCCACGCTTCCCCGAGATGAGAGTGAGATCCTCGGAAGAAGAGGGGCGAGGAGGAGGAGACGCGGGATGAGGAGGAGGAGGAGGAGGAGATCCTCGCTTCGCTCCTCGGCCTCCTCGGGGGTGCTCGCCCCGGCTGCCGCGGTCGCCGCCGCCGCGTCCTCGGACTGGGCAGGGGGG